AGTTGTCTCAGTTCGAACTTCCAGTTCTAGTGGGGCAGAAATCTCACCTCCAGTCTATGAACAGCCAAATGGCCACCTTCACAATAACTAGCATCTAAACGATCCCAGATGAAACATCTTGTACACACCAGATCTCCAGAAAAAAAATCACGTTGATTTTTTTCAGAGCATGAAAATAAAAGCTATTTTTGTCCTGGGTGACCTCACTATCTATAGCTTTTGAGCAAGGGATGTGGCCAGATGGGAAATACAGTGGCCCTTATAAATCAGTCCAACATCTCTGTTCTTGGATAAATGTTCTGGAGTGAGAGTTGGATAATAGAGGAAAAATGTAGCTCATAAGTTTTACATTTTAGATATTTTACTCCACTATTCTAATAATAATTTTTGGACGTGTTCTGATTGGTGCAAACACTGACATCGTCGACATATTCATAAGAATAAGTTTGAATCTTCTTGAGGTGTATTTGTGGTTTCCACGGTAACTCAAGTGGAACCCGAGTAAACTGAGATACCATAAGTCCATGCTCTTTGATTGTGAGTTTCATCAGTCCTTTACTGGAGTTAGAGACTGGGAGGATGCCCATAGGAATTTCAGGATCGATCTGTTTCTAATTTCATTTCATTTATCTGTTCCAGCCAACAGAGAACAGTCCTCTCCCACTTTATCTCCAACTAAGAAATTTCAATAACTTAGACTACAGAATCCTTTCCCCTTCTGAGCGAACTGAACTTTTGGAATAGATTTTGTACCAGAGCAAATTCTTCTTTTACCTCGGTGTACTGCTTCTCATACTTTAATTTCCAATTCTTCCAGTCTTCATCCAGTGTTGAATCAAACGTGTGGCCTGATGTTACAGCCAGAATAGACACCACCACACAGCCCAGAAACAGAGAGAATTTCATGATGGACAACCTAATGGAGCAAATCCAATGGGTTTAGACAGGGGTTGGACAATGCTCCAATTTCTGCCAAGTTAATTTTGCTAAATTATTTGGTTAAAAGGACAATACACATATTATCCTCAATCAAATGCTGTCATCTTTTGCATTTTATCTTCCTTAAATAGACAAAATACCTCATTGCCATAGTCTCTGAATTAAAATCTTCATGCCATTAAATCTATTGAATTAATTTTGTTCAAAATGTTTCACTAAGTATTGGAAAGAGCAAGTGTGGACAGAATATAAATTGTCCTCTTGTAATAGGCATTTCTTAGCTAACAGCCAATCGTCTGCATCAGTCCATCAATAGCTCAAGTAGCGGTGTAATGGCAATGTTACTGGGCTGATACTTCAAGTGAGCGATGTTCCATGAGACAATATGGATGGAGAATTAACAATTAGAAACAAGGATATGGTTGGAACATTGAACAGGTATTTCATGTCTAACACTGCAAAAACTGGAAAAACATCTTATGCATATTTGATAATCTAGAGATGAAAGGCAAGAAGGAACACAAAGCTTGTGACAGGTATAGGGAGAGCTATTTGAATTAAATGCCGGAAGTCTTTTGGACCTGATGGTATACATCTTATGGTCTGAAAAGAAGTGCCCGTGGAGATAATAGACATATTCCATCGGTTCAGGAAAGATCCAAGCAGTTTAGGAAGACAGATTTAAGACCCCTATTCAAGAGAGGAGGAATGTAGAAAACAGGAAACTATAAAATTGTTAGTCTAATATCTGAGACGGAAAACCAGTAATAAATGATGTAAAAGCAAAATACTATAGATGCTGAAAATCTGAAACAAACACAGAATGCCGGAGAAACTCAACGGATCTGGGAGCATCTGTGGAGAGATAACAGTTAATGTTTTGATAATTGACAACCCATGTTACCAACCTATGTTTTTTTTTAATTCAATGCCCTATTTGTTTTGTTATTCCTTCATGGGCCTTGAGCATCACTGGCGAGGGCAATGTCTATTACCCATCCATAACTGCTCCAAAGAAAGTGGTGTTGAGCTGCCTCCTTGAACTGCTCAGTCCATGCAGTATAGTGACATTGGAAGTGCTGTGAGGGATAGTTACAGAATTTTGATCCACTGACAATAGAAGAAACAGTGATATAGCTCCAAATCAAAATGGCTTGTGGCAATGAGTGGGATATCCCCTTACGTCTCATATTCCTTCGGCTGGTGGAGATCACAGATTTGAATTTGTCTGCATGTTTTTTTCCTAACCTCCTTTCCAAAACCTAGTCGGTAATCTGCAGACATCGCCTCTTGCTGATCCTTTAATATTCTTTTGCTCGCTCCATACGGATGTTATTTTTGTCCTGCTGATAGCTGTGTCTACTTTTCCCAAATAAATACAGCTCCTCCAACTTGTCTTTTAGCCTCACCATCATTTCTAAGTATATTACATTGCAATTTTTAATTGTCAGTCCTAATTATTCCGCAGCACTTCTTAATAATTCCTCTGATGTTTGATTCCTTGCTGCTCATCACGGTATTCGGCTCCTCCTGTTTTATTACAGACATTTGTTGGTTCATTTAAGTAAGGTTTTCTCCCACTCTACATTGAACTATCTCTTCAGACTCCAGCTATATAACACTGGTTACTTCCTTGCCATCAATGTCCTCTTGGACGTTAATCTTTCCTGAGCCCTTTCTCCTGATCTGTTTTCATTAAGGCTGTATTTCTTGTTGAGCTTTCCCTTACCAGTCTTTGTAGTTTAAACGTAGACAGTTTGGAGAAAGCAAAAAAAATAGAAGGAGGGAGTAATTGTAGAGTAGATTGTAAAGTAAAAAGGCCCATTGAGATTAAACACCGAAAGAACAATGGATGCTGAAAATCAGGAACAAAACAGAAGTCGCTGAAAAAGCTCAGCAGGTCTGGTAGCATCTGTGAAGAAAAAATCAGGGTTAATGTTTCAGGTCCGGTGACGCTTCCTCAGAACTCAGAATTGGAGGCAATGGCTGAGAGGTATTGTCACTGGGCTGTTAATCCAGAGACTCAGATAACGTTCTGAGGACCCGGGTTTGAATCATGCCACGGCAGATAGTGGAATTTGAAATCAATAAAATATAGCTGGAATTAAGAATCTAGTGATGACCATGAACCCATTGTCGATTGTCAGGAAAACACATCTGGTTCACTAATGCCCTTTAGGGGAGGAAACTGCTATCCTTAGCTGGTCTCGCCTACATGTGACTCTAGACTGACAGCGATGTGATTGACTCTGGGCAACTAGGGATGGGCAATAAATGCTGCCCCTGATCAACGATGCCTTCATCCTGTGAATGAATTTTTTAAAAATAACTTAAAACCCGAAACGTTAACTCTGAGTTTTTTCTTCACAGATTTTGCCAGACATGCAGATCTTTTCCAGCAACTTCTGTTTTTGGCCCATTGAGATTGTTCTGTCATTTAAAACTATTGTGGATGACCTTGGGCTTAAATTGCATTTTCTCATTGTCTGCACGTCTCTCTGATTCCCTGAGAAATCAAAAAAAATCTGTCCATCCAAGCCTCAAACATTTTAAACAGGGGATGCCATTTAAATGAAAGACCCTGGACCATCCTCTTACCGTAGCGTGAGTGATAAAATCCAGCCTTACCAGTACTGACTACAGCCTGAGAAGAAATATTAAAACAACACATGGAAGAGGAGAAACTTAATAACTTGGTTCTTTGAAGCAGGTTAAACCACTTTCCGGGTACTCAGTCTGTCTGGATGTACACATGTATTGTGCACTGAATCTCTCCATTTCATTCAATAATCAACCCCTTGTGGTACATAATACCAAAGAATCACAGCCCTTTGATTGTAGCAATTTCCCCTCATCTCAGTCCAAAATAATCAACTGCCCACTCTGAGACGGTGCCCTTCTGCTTTATATTCCCTTATCAGCGGAAATAGTCTCTCAGCATCAATCTTATCAATTCCCTTCAGAAGACTGAACAGTTCACTGAGATCATCTTTCATTCTTCTCAGCCCTAGAGAACACAGACCCATTTTGCTCAGTCTTTCATTGTCGGACAAGCCTCTTATTCCATAAACTTCCTGCCTGCTGTAGCTGCGTGTTCATTTTCTGCATTCCTTTCATGAGCATTGTATGTCAATGCTTACAAGTTTCATATCTTTAAAAGTATTCTGCTTTTCTTTTTTTATGACCAAAGTGAATAACTTCACAATTTGAAGACTGAACACAGGAGAAACTACTTTATCCAGAAAATGTTTAAAATGTGGAACTGACAGCCACAGGAAGCAGTTGAAGTGACAAGCAGAGATGGAATTAAGGGTAAACTAGATAAGCAGTTGAGGGAAAATGGAAAGGAAGAATAAGCTGATGAGGTGAGATAATGAGAGGTGGGAAGAAGTTCATGTAGAGCATAAACACTAGCATGGACCTGTTAGGCAGAAGGGTCTGTTTTAATGCTGCAAATCCATTGTAATAATTTACAACTTTCACATCACCACATATTCCTCCATTTAGTTTCCCCTGCCTCCTTTATTTTACAAAGTTGCTGTTCCATTTGATGGACAATGACTTTTCACCTTGGCTTCTCTACTGAAAAATGAACATGCTCTCGTGATCTAATCCTCCTAATTCTCACACCCACCAGTTTATAGTGCTCCCCATTGACCAGAACCTGGACTGGAGCTGCCAGACTAACACTATGGTTATAGACACAGGGCAGAAGCTGGGTATTCTGAGACAAGTGCCTCACCTTCTGACCCTTCA